CTGCCGCCCGTGCTGAGCCCCCCGACGCGGTGCTGGCGTCGCCACAAGGGGCTGTGAATCACTTTTAAGGCCTAAAAAGTTGTTTTACTTCTTTAAAGTGCGTTGAAGCTGCTAAAAGACATCCGGATGCTCCCCGTGCTCCGGGACACCCGCTCACGCCGCTTCCTCCGTGTGCCGCCATCCCCTCACGAGTCCCCCATGTGCGGCATCCCGGGTCCCACACCGGTCACCGCGTCCACGCCACCTCGTCCCCAGCGGGGATGGGGTTCGCTGCTGTGGGTGCCGCCCCAGTTTGACGTGCCGGGGGCTCAACGCTGGTTGAGCCGTGGGGCGGTGTGGATGTGGTGGCCCTCCACCGTGTCACAGCCCTCCCACTTGGCCATCTCCAGGGGGGCATCCTCTGGGTACTCGACCAGGGCTGGGGCGAAGGGCCCCACGAGCCAGGGCAGGGGCGCGTGCTCGCCCACGTGCTCCAGCATCTCGTCGATGCTCAGCTGCGCTCGCAGCACCGTCTCCCTGCCCTGCGCCACCACCAGCTCCGAGAGGTCATGGAGGGAGCGGGCGTGGGACAGGGACGCTTGGACGCCCTCCACGCCGTGCCGGACGTGTCCCGCTGTCTCCTGCACGCTGCTGGGCAGGCCCCGGATGCCGGCGGCCAGGCGGGTGCAGGCAGCATGGAGCTGGTGCAGGAGCCCCCGCAGCATGGCCAGGGTCCGCGCCTCCACCTGCGGGCAGCGGGGGACCCCTGGGCCATGGTGTCCTCCACAGGCAGGGACCCCAACCCCATATCTCATTGCCTTCCATGCGTGCAGACCCCAACCCCATATCTCATTGCCTTCCATGCGCACAGACCCCAGCCCCGTATCTCATTGCCTTCCATGCACGCAGACCCCAGCCCTGTATCTCATTGCCTTCCATGCGCACAGACCCCAACCCCATATCTCATTGCCTTCCATGCGTGCAGACCCCAACCCCGTATCTCATTGCCTTCCATGCACACAGACCCCAACCCCGTATCTCACTGTCTTCCATGGCCATGGCCCACCACCCCTCACCTCAGTGTGTTTTATGGCACCCCGGACTCACACATGGCGTCCACCATGGCCGCAGGCCCTCACACCTCGATGTCATCTATGGATACCCCAGCCCTATGCTGTTGTCTTCCCCACGGGCACGCCCCCCCCCCCAACCCCTCAGTGTCCTCCATGGGCATCCAGCCCCGTACCTCGCTCTCCTCCATGGGCACAGCCTCCTGCTGGCTCCACTCCAGCCACATGCGGTGCAGCCGCTGCCGGGTGCCGTACAGGGGCCCGTCCATGCCCTGCCGCATCTGCTCGATCTGCGGGACGGGGCAGCGAGGCGGGAGCACCGCAGCGGGTACCAGCACCCCCCGATGCTGGCGCGGTCCACACCGCATCCTTACCAGCTCGAAGGTGCGGTGGAGCTGGGCCAGGACGTGCTGGGCTCTGTGCCGTGCCCGCTGCAGCTCCCCCAGCGAGCGCCGCAGCGCCCGGTGCCGCAGCTTGGCCGAGAGCGAGCCCACGCGGACAAAGTAGCTCTGCCACCGCCTCTGCTGCCCCAGCGCTGCCACCTCCGTGCCCGCCGCCGTCGCCACCACTGCAGGGACAGGGGGGGGAACCCACAGGGAGCCACAGCATAAACAGGGTTGGGAAAGAGCCTGAGGAGGATCAGGTCCAACCGCTCCCCCAGCGCTGCCTGGACCAAAGAGCCCAATACCGGAGCATCCCTGGCGCTCTGCGCCCCATGGAGGTGCCACCCCCAAGATGCTCGGGCACTGGGTGCATGTGGAGGTGCCACCAGGAGCCAGGCGGTGTCTCCGGTCACCTCTGCCATGACACGGGGCCATCTCTGCCCACCACTGCCCCTTGCCAAGCTATAAATACCCAGCGTGGGGCTATATTTGCTTTCTGGTTTCCAGGTGAGAGGTCACCCTGTGCAGTGCTGTATTCCCCGCCTTAGCATTCCCCATGGTGGGAATCATCCCCTGCGCCGTGGCCACGGGCATCCCATGGGGCTTGGCGCTGCAGAGGGACCGCTGAGTGCAAGCGGTGCCGGGGTGGTGCTGAGCAGTGAGGGGGCTCCAGCACCCCTGGCTTGAGGAGATGGCTCAGAGCCCTGTTGACACTCACCCAGCTCCTCGTCCGTCCCGGGCAGGTATCGCTCCACCAGCTCCTCCGACTTGCCCAGCACCGAGTCCACCCCCGTGGCCAGGATCTGGCCCACGCGGGACCCCGCCACGGTGCTGAGCGCCGAGCACGTCCTGGCCACGCCGCCCTGCACCGCGCCGCGCGCCAGGCCCACGGTGCAGGACACCAGCGCCCGCGTCCCGGCCACCACCTGGGAGGGGACAGCACAGGGACGCCATGCGCCAGCCCCGAGCCCAGCGCCGGACCCCCCTGCCTCACCCGGGGCAGACGTTACCCGCTGCGGGGGCTGCTGCAGGATGGGCAGCTTCTCCTCCAGCTTCTCCAGCCCCTTGCAGGCGTATTCGTTGGCGGTGGACACTGGAGACGGGAGCACAGACGGGTTTAACGCCCTGCTGAGCGCTGACAGGGACAGGCCTTGGGGCACCCCAAAGCTCATGGGGTGCCCCAGTATCTGCCCCCCCCCCAGCTTTCTCCAGCCTTTTGCAAGTGTATTTATTAGAGGTGGAAACTACAGATGAGAAACCAGCTTTTCCCTGCCCTGCTGCCCCTCCAGGGTGCTGCTATAGGAATAGTTTTGGTGGCACCCCAAAACTTGTGGGGTGCTGCCCCTCCTCCCCTCCCCAGCTTCTCCTCTCCCTCCTCCAGCCCTTTACATCCATGTTTATGGCAATCTAGAGACATGGAACCAGATTATTCCTCCCTTGCTGCCTTTCCAGGGCTCTGCAGGGGCCGGTTTTGGGGTGTCCCCCCCCCAGCCCCACTCACGCTGCGGCTCCAGCCTGGTGAGGATGGGCTGTGCCCCACTGACCGCCGCCGCCGTCAGCGTCTTCACCCCCTTCTCGGCAGCATCGCAGACGGAGCGCACGTAGGGGTGGCTCTCCTTGGTGGAGCTGTACGCCGTGGACACGGCGCCGCAGGCGCAGCTCACCAGGGCCAGGCTGGCCACCCGGCTCACCACGCTCTGCCGGGGGTGCTGGGGGTGAGCTGGGGGCACCGGTGGTACCCGCAGCCCCCCCTCAGCGCTCCCTGCACCCCTACCTTCAGCTCCTGCCCATCCTCGCGTGGCACGGAGCCGTCGGAGGACATGGCAGCGGTGGCTGCAATGGGAGGAAGAGCAAGATCATGGGGGGCCAATGGGGGGGGGCTGAGCCCAGCGGGGACCCCCAGCCCCAGAGCCACCCCTCTCCATGCCAAGGGAAGCAGCACACGGTGGGGCTGAGTCCGTCCGTGTCCCCCCAGCCAACCCTTACTCCTCAGAGGGCTGAGACCCATGGACCCCGTTACATGAGTGAGAGGCCTCGGAGCTACTCAAGGGGGTGTCACGGGGGAGCGGGAAGGGTTTGGGGATGGGGGTGGTCCCCTGCCCTATCAGGGGGGGTTTCCCCAGCCCCTCCTGGGTCCCCCCACCCGGGTTTGGGGCCGGGGAGGGGTTTTCGGGTGACTCAGCCGGAAGCGGGGCTGGGTCCTCCCTTCGCAAGCCCCGAGTGTGGACGTGCCTCCGGTCACCGCCGCCTCGGCCGGGGCAGCCCCGGGACCCGCTGCAGGGAGCGCAGCCACCGGAGGCTCCCCCCAGACCCCCCCCCCCCCGCAGCATCTCCGAGCTTTGCGGTGTCCTCCTGCTGCTCCCCGGGTCCCATCACCGAGGGGGGCACCGGGGACCCCCCTTCCCCTGCCCCTGCGGCCGCACAGGCTCTGCCCCCCTCCAGCCCCCGCAGACCCCCGGGCCCGGAAACACCCGAACCCCCCCGCAGCTCCTCCCCGGCCCCGCTTCCCCCCCCCGAGTACCGCCAAGTCCCGGAGCCCTCCTCACCCTGGGGGCGCGGGGCCGGTCGCGATTCCCGGTCGCGATTCCCGACTCCCGCCCAGACCCGGATTCCCAGTCAGCGGCGGGAGCCAATCAGAGAAGGGGTGGGACTCGTCTCCACCAATTAGGATGGAGGGGCGGGACCAGGGGGCGGGAGTTGGGGGGTGGTCGCCACGTGCGCGGGACACGATCTGGGCCCGGGCCCTAAAGGGGGAGAAATGGGGGAGGGGGGGGGGAAGAAAAGGGGGGACACGGGGGGGGTGCAGGGGGAAGCGTGGGGGGACACGGAGAGGACACGGGAGGGGACATGGGGGGCACGGGGGAAGTCACAGTGGGGGACACGGGGACATGGGGGGCACGGGGGAAGTCACAGTGGGGGACACGGGGACATGGGGGGCACGGGGGGATACGGCAGGGAGCACAGGGGGGAGACATGACGGGGTCACCCCGTCCCGGGGAGGTGGCCAGGGGCACCGAGCCACCGCCCAGTGTCCCCATGCCAGGCGTCCCCGTGCCAAGCCCCCCCATGCCAGTCGTCCCCTTGACGTGCGTCCCCATGCCCGCTGTCCCCTCGCCAAGCATCTCCATGCCAAGTGTCTCCACACACCCCCCAGGTGTCCCCACACCAAGTGACCCAGCGCCCGGTGTCCCCGTGCCAAACATCTCCGTGCCAATGTCCCCAAGCCCGGTGTCCCCATGCCAAACATCTCCGTGCCAATGTCCCCAAGCCCGGTGTCCCCGTGCCAAGCAGAGCCGCTCAGGGCTCCAGGTCTGCCCTGACCCCTGTGGGTGCTCAGGGCATGGGACAGCAGCGCCTGGGCGTGCTGGGTGATCCCCGGGGGGAGAACGGTGCCTGGATGGGGACAGGGACAGGCACAGGCAGGGAGCAGGGAGAGAAGGGGCCAGGCACGGCTGGGGGATGTGGTGCCCCTCACTGGGGGCTTCATGGGATGAAACACAGGAGAAAACGCGGTGGCTCCAAGCGATGGCATTTAATGTGCTTCTGTGCGGTGGGGACAGGGGCAGGATGGGGACAGGGACGTGGGACAGCCTGAGGCACGGTGGGGCTGGGCGGCACTGGGACAGGCACCGCAGCACGGGGACAGGGCAGAGCTGCAGCCCGACGCTCCCCGCCTCGGTTTCCCCAGGAGAGCTCCTATGGGCCGGGGACAACGCGGCGGGGAGGGAGGTGGCACCCCCGAGCCCCTGCGGTGCCACCGAGCCCCTCACCTATGGGCCCGGCGGCTGCTGCCCGTCCCCGTTGTCCTCGCAGCCCCCGGCCCCGCTCAGCGCAGCCACCTCCTGCCCCCGGCGGTGCGCGGGGCTGGCGCAGCGGGTGTCGGCGGCGGCGCTGAGCAGCGGGGCCGCGCTCCGCAGCAGCGCCCGCAGCGCGCACCCGCAGTGCCAGGGGTTGCCCGCAAGGTCCAGCTCCAGCGCGGGGCCGGGGCCGGGAGGGGGCAGCTCCAGCGCCCGCAGCCGGTTCCGCGCCAGGTCGAGGACGCGGAGGTGGTGCAGGGGCAGGAAGATGCGGGGGGGCAGCTCCTGGAGCCCGTTCTCCTGCAGGAACAGGAGGCGCAGCGCGGGCGCGGGGGCGAAGGCTGCGGGGGGCAGCGTGAGCAAACGGTTCCCCTCCAGGTCGAGCCGCTCCAGAGCCCCCAGCCCGGCCAGCGCCCCCGGCCCCAGCGCCGCGAGGAGGTTGCGGGACAGGTCCAGGCTCCGCAGGGAGCGCAGCGGGCGGAAAGCCCCCGGCGGCAGCTCCGCCAGCGCGTTGGAGCCCAGGTCGAGCCAGAGCAGGCGGGGAAGATGCTGGAACCATGCGGGGCGCAGCGCCCGCAGCCGGTTCTCGCGCAGCACCAGGTGCTGGAGGCGCTGGCTGCTGCTGAAGGTGTCGGCGGGGAGGTCGCTCAGGAGGTTGTTGGTCAGGTCGAGGACGCGCAGGGCGGGCGCGGGGCGCAGCAGGGCCGCGGGCAGCGAGGCCAGGCGGTTGGAGGAGAGGTGCAGCTCCTGCAGGCGCGGCACCGGCAGCAGCGCGGAGGGAGGGAGCGCCGAGAGCGCCGTGAACTCCACCGAGATGGCGAGCGTGGTGCGGGGCAGCCCCGCGGGGAGGGAGCGCAGCGTGGGCTCCGTGCAGACGAACCGGGTGGCGTTGGGCTGCGGGGAGCAGGGCGCGGCGGGGCCCGGCGGCAGCAGAGCCAGCACCAGCAGCAGGATGGGTCCCGGTGGCATCGCGGTGCAGCGCTGCGGGCAGCGGCCCCCGTCAGCCGGGGATTGTGCAAGCCCTGCCGTTGCCAGCTCACCCCACAGCGCGGGCAGGAAGGTGCCCCGAGCCCCATGTCCCCCACCCTGGACCCCACACCGAGACCCCCAGCCCTACCCTCACCTTCGCAGCCATCCGGTGGAGCTCCTTGGGGACCGTCCGGACTCCTCGGTGGCCGTGACCCGGGGGGGCTGCTGGTACCGGTTGGGAAATCGCTGCCTTCGCTGCCAGCCCGCAGGGTGCTGGCATCCGGGGTAGGGCCAGGGCGGTGGCATCCCCGTGTCCCCACTGAGCCCCATGGCTCTTGCAGCACTGCCACCCCCTTCTTACACCCTCAGGCCTCCCAGGTACCCCAGCACCCATCACCCACGGTGCTGCACACCCAGATGGGTGAAACTGAGGCACAGCTTGCCATGGGTGCTGGGGAGCCCCATGGCAAAGCCCCATGAGTGGGTCCATGGCTGGTGGCTGCTGCAAGCTGAGCACTGAGGAGCTCATTGCATGGGAGAGGGGCTGGGGGTGGGTTTGGGGGGGCTGGGGGGTGTTGTCATGGCAATGGGGTGCATGGTGTGGAGGGGGGTAAGCGTGGTTCAGGGGCTTTGTCCCCCATGTCCCCCTCCAACCCCTTCCCTCACCGCATAGCAGCCCCCCCTCAAGACTGGTGCTGCCCCCCCGAAGCCGGGGGGAGCTCCCGGGGGGGGGATCAGACGGTTCCGAGGCGGCGCCGGGGGGGAGTTGCCTCCGGTAAACGGGCGTTTATTGGGGCCGCGGGGTACAGACCGCGGGCGGCCGCATGCATGGCCGCGGGTGGGGGGGGCGCCCGCCGCCCCCCACCCTATTTACAGCCTGCCACCCCCCAGGGGACCTGCCACCCCCCCCCAGGGACCCGCCAACCCAGTGTGGCACCAAAAGGGCCCCTTTGCCAGCAGAGAGTGGGTTCGGTGGGGACCCCCCAGCCCCAGCGGTGCCCCCACCCCCCGGCTGTGCTCTCCAGGAGGGGCTGATGGATGAGGTCCCGCCCAGACTGGCTCTGGGCAGGGGCTGACCCCAGGTTAGGGGTGTGAGTGTGCCCCATCCGAAGATATCACACATTTGGGGGCTTCCCCGCCCCACTGCACCTCACAAGTTCACCGTGTCCCATCCCCACAACCAACGCACCGCGGGCCGGGTGTCCCCAGGGCGCTGGCAGCACCCCTAAGCCCCCTTCTTGGGGTGCCTGGGTGAAGCTGATGGAGCCGAGGGGCTGCAGGGTGAGGGGCACAGCCCCGCTCTTCCTCGGCTGTGTCCGTGTGTCCATCCTGCTGCCCCCCAGGGATCCCCCTCCCAGGGTGCCGCACCCCTGGGTCCAGCCTGGGGAGGGGACGGGATGGACGGAACCCCCCTGGGACCCAGGGCAAAGCAGCCGGAACGTGGGGCACTGCCCCACTGCCAGCCGGGGACACCCCCAAACCCTAGCCAAGGGGTACCTGTGTCCCCCCCCAACCCATGCAGCATCTCACCCCATGCCCGCAGCTCTGCCCTGGCCACCCCTCCTTGTCCCCAGGGAGCGCGGGGGGACACTCACACACACACACACACACACGCTGGGACCCTATTTCCCCGAGGGAGTCCGCTCCACGCCGTAGCGCAGGAGGTGCTGCAGGTCCGTCAGCGCCCGCGGGGGCCCGGTGCCGGGCGCCCGTGCCCCTGTGCCGTGCCTCCCGTAAGCACCCTCGCCGCTGTTGAACGTGTGGTTCCTCTTGAGGTGGGCGCCGGCGCGGCCCGTGCCGTTGTTGGCGTTGAAGTTCAGCTGGTCAGGGTGCCAAGGCGGCCCCTTGGTAAAGTCACCCCCTTCCCCACCGGGTGCCGAAACCACCCTGCGGCGCTCGGGGCTGGGGTGCGGTGTGCCGGAGAAGTCACCGTACGAGCTGCGGGGGGCACGGCGGGCGCCGGCGGGGGGGTGCTGCCGGGTGCGGGGCCCCTCCTGAGGCTCCCGACCCCAATGTCCATCCCCCGAGGAGTCGCTGAGTTCAGCCTCCAGCTCCTGATCCACCAGGATGGCGTGGCAGGAGAGGGGGATGCCGCGGGGCGGGCGGGCGGAGCCGGCGTGGAGCCGACCGGCGCCGGCGGTACCGGAGCCAGCGGGGTCCCGCAGCGCGGCGTTGATGATGTTGTGACTCTGCTCCCAGGTGCAGTTCTGGAGCGCTCCGGGGCAGCGTTTCTGCTGCAGCGGGGTCTGCTCCGGCGTGGGCAGCACCCCCGAGTCCAGGTCGTGCTGGGCGACCTTCCCCAAGTCCTTGGGCCACCCGTTGGGCATGAGCGGGGCCAGCAGGGCGCCGGGTTGGCCGCTGCGCGCCCGGCGCTCGCCCAGGCGGCTGACGCTCACCACGGACTCGCTGTGTGCCAGGATGGTCTCCTTGTCCTTGCGCCGCGCCAGCTCCTTGCGGTCCCGGTGCCCGATGAACCAGCACACGCTGAAGCCGGAGATGACGGCGCCGATGACGAAGGCGGCCACGGAGGAGATCACCAACAGGTTCACGGACACCAGCCCGTCCGGCTCGTCCACGAAGCTCTCTGTCACCAGCCCTGGGGGGGGGAATGGGGGGGACACAATCAGGGGACGGTCGTGGTGGGGATCTGGTGGAGTCACCACGGCCCCGTGCCCCGTCCCTCATGCGCTCACCCTCGCACTCGCCCAGATGGGATGTGCTGCCGCCGGTGATGTCCTGCTCGAAGGCCACCCTGGGGGTACAAATTGATGGGGGGAAGGTGTCAGCTGGCCCCGATAGGTGACGGGGTCCCAGCTTGCTTCAGCCAGTGATGAATTGGCTGGGTCTCAGCAGCAGAGGGGTGCAGGCGCTCCTGTTGTCCCCCCACACACCACGTCCCCCAGTGTCCCCCCCCCGTCATGGGCCTGGAAGCGTTTGTTACCTGGGGGTGGGCTCCAGGAAGACGCAGGAGCCCTCCGGTGTCCATCCACAGTAGGGATCCTGGCTCCCGAGGCAGTTCCTGGCAGGAAGCAGGGAAGTCAGGATCCCCACCATGAGGGGGACGAGCCCCCGGCCCCCACGCGGGACCCTGGCCCTGCACCGTGCCTCAGTTTCCCCTGTTGGTGCTCCCAGCCCTGCCGAGCCATTCCCAGGCAGATCCCAGCACCGGAATGTGATCCCCGGCTCCTCCCATGCCCCCCCCATGGATCCCTGCCCACCGGGACACTCACTTCATGCAGCCTGAGTGCTGCTGGCAGCGTGCCACTGGCACCCTGGCCACGCAGGGCGGGAAGGCCAAGAGCAGGGACCCCGCTGCCTTGTCCAGCTCCAGCCCCAGCAGCCGCCGCTCGTCTGCCGTGTCCCGGCCACACCTGGAGACAGAGCTCAGCGTGGCCCCGGTCCTGCTGCGCCCCAGAGGCAGGGCCAGAGGGGGGCATCTCACACACCCCTGCTTTGACCCACACACCCCTTGCATCCCTCTGACGCATCCCTTCCTTCCTTCCATCCATCCATCATCCACCCACCCATCCATCCACCCATCCCTCCATCCCTCCATCCACCCATCCCTCCATCCATCCATCCTTTCATCCATCCATCCATCCCTCCATCCCTCCATCCACCCATCCCTCCATCCATCCATCCTTTCATCCATCCATCCATCCCTCCATCCATCCATCCACCCATCATCCATCCATCCCTCCATCCATCCATCCAAACCTTTATCCATCCATCCATCCTTTCATCCATCCACCCATCCCTCCATCCATCCATCCACCCATCATCCATCCATCCCTCCATCCATCCAAACCTTCATCCATCCACCCATCCATCCATCCCTTCATCCATCCATCCACCCATCCCTCCATCCATCCATCCATCCACCCATCCACCAATCTATCCATCCACTCACCCACCCATCCATTGACCCATCATCCCTCCATCCCTCCATCCATCCATCCATCCATCCATCCATCCATCCATCCATCCATCCATCCATCCATCCACCAATCTATCCATCCACTCACCCACCCATCCATTGACCCATCATCCATCCATCCCTCCATCCCTCCATCCCTCCATCCATCCATCCCTCCTCCCGTCCCCCCTGTGTCCGTCTCCAGCACCCACCTCCCAGGCTGGTAGGTCTCGAACTCCTCCAGGAAGATGCTCTGGCTGCCGGGAATGGCGGGTGCGGGGCTGGAGCTGGCATTGGGCTGGATGAGGAACTTGAGGACGGTGCCGGTGCTGGCGCCCAGGAACACCACGGTGTGGTTGCCCCACGGCCCCGCCGCGGTGTCCACCACGATCTTGCGGAGCTGGTACCTGTGTGGTGTAAATGGAGTCGGCGTCAGGGTGGGCAGGGAAACCTGAGGCAGGGTGGGCCCAAGGAGCGGGATGGGGCGTGCAGATCCCACATGGAAACTACTGCAGATCCTGGCCAGGAAACAGTCAGACCCATCTTGGATCCCACCCATGACTCATCCCAAATCCCACTCAGGATCCTGACCACATCCCACCTGCATCCATCTGGTTTTCAACTGGGATCCTGCTCAGATCCCACTAAAGAACCAGCCCAGACTCCCCTGATCCGTCAGCAGGACCCCAACTGGTGCCCAAGCCCAGCCCTGTGTCCTGGTTCTCATCCCCACATCCCTATTATTAGCCCCATATCCTTGTCCCAGCCCTTGCTGGAGGCAGTGACTGGATCCATTCCCATCAGCAGGAATTAAGGCAGGTTTCATTAGGATGAGACAACCTTGACTGCAAAGCTTACGGGATTTATCCAGTGCTGGCACGTGCCAGGCTCCAACAGCACCCAGCAGCACCCCTTAGCACCCATTAGCACCCACCAGCACTCACCAGCACCCAGCACCCACCGGCTCATGGTGCGCAGGATCCAGGGTGCGCTGCCCAGCGCCGGCACCGCCTCGTCCATCAGCGGATGCGTCTTGACGAAGTTGAGGATCTCATCCGGGAAGGAGCTGGAGGAGTTGTAGCGCATCCCGGGGGACGCGCAGCACCCGGGGCTGCGGCCGGGCACGGCTCAGTGTCCCCAGTGCCATGATGGAGCCCTGGCCCCATCATCATCCCTGTCCTCATCATCATGCCCATGCCCATCCCCTGATCCCTCCTGTTCCCATCCCTGCCCCTGTCCCCATCACCATCCCTATCCCAATTATCTTAGAATCATGCTCATCCCCATCCCCACCACCCTTCCTGCGGGCCCCAGCCCTGATCACTCCTGTCCCCACCTCTGTCACTGGCCCCATCCCTGATATTATGCTCACTCCCATCACTCTCCCTGTGGGTACCAACCCT